AGAAGCATTTTAAAATTATTTTCCTGTGCTTTGTCAAAATATAAATTTGATTTTCATATTTTAAAACTTTGCAAGTATTACATGAGCAAATTCTCATACTGAAAAAAAATATAAATAAAATAACCTTTCTGCCTACCACCCTCACCACGCGTCTCTAAGCACTTCTTTCTACACATTCACATAGAAAGTGTTAGCATGTCTACCATATCCAGCATCATCTTTTCAATAGAAAGAGCCAAGGAGAGTGAAATGGCCTACATTGCATGATAGTGACTTAGCTGTTGCTGGATCATTTGACTGTGATTTGGGAAGAGTGTTCCAGAAGAAATTCAAAGTTTGGATGAATGCCTAAGAGTAAGAATTTTAAGAAGATCTTCTCTTACCTTTATCTACATTATTCTAACTCATAATTATCTCAAAGTCAACACACACACACACACACACACACACACACACACACACACGCAACTTCACTGAAACTCCTGTGCCCTAAGGATCTGCTTCTCCTCTTATTGATGTCATCTGTCAAACTCCAAATATCCCACCAGAAGTGAACCCAAGGTCCTGTCCTTCTGATGACTCAATGCCACTTCCAGACAAATGGTTGCTCTCTCTTTTGTTAAGCTGTTCCTTGGAGCAGCTGGCAATAAGATCCTCTTCTCCCTTTAGTCATCACTTGACCGTCTGGTCCCTCATTAAGAATTTAGCACCACAGGGCTGTGGGTGTAGTTCAGTGGTAGAGTGTGTATTTAGCATGCACAAGGCCCAGCATCACTTCCCAGCATACACAAAAGAGAATTCAGCACCCAACCTAGAATCTTCCTATCACCCCAGGCCTACTGTCATGCAAAGCAGATTCAGCATCTCCAAGGTGCATCATCAGCACCTTGGCCAGTAGTTCCTTAGCCTTATGCCCAGTGATCTATGCCCTCACTCCACCTCAAGCACCAACAGCCACAGTCTGGCCATGAATTTGGTTGCCAAAGGCCAATGTCTGGGCTTGGCACTCAGCATTTGGTCATCATTAAAAACTGCACTCCAGGCCACCCCACAGCCACACTTTCTCTCCCAGCCCTACCACCACCCCCGCAAGCTCCTCTCCTTCCAGATGCCTTGCTGTAGGCCTCTCACTGTGAGACTGCTCACTATAACACTGGCCCTACATCCATCAGCCTCCTCCCTGGCCACATCTCTCCATCAGCACCATCCATGGCCCCTGCCTCCCCTACTTCTACCCCCAACTCCTGGCTCCATATTTCATCTGGCCAATTCCTACTCATCCTTAAAGTTATACTGAAATGCCACACTCTATCCGGACTGGTTAGCTAAATAAGATTCCCCTGTTAAGTCATCTTATAGGTTTTTGTTATTTTTCTTAGCTTCTCTTCAAATACACAAATTACCTTATTGCAATTACATTATTGTGAATTTGAACATGAAAGATCTATTTTATCCTAGATTATACATTGGTTGAGGATAGAAACCAGGATTGATTTACTTTCAATATCTATCAACTAGTACCATGAGTGGCACATAAAAGAAGTATGTACAGATTGGCATACACATACTTATACACACACACACACACACACACACACACACACACACACTTTCCTTTTAGTAAATGAATATCTGTGTTCTGTAAGCAATGATAAATCAAACAGAGCATTGTGCTGCCTGACCTCAAAACTAATTGCAGCCACTTTTTGGAAAAATGCACTAACTTCACAAACAGCCTCTTCCTGATCTCTAGAGTAGAAAGGTCTGTGTTCTCTGCTGAATATTCTGTGGTTGAAAGGGACATTTGCCAAGAGCCTCAGCACTTTCTGTAGCAGACAGTGTAAAGAGAAGCAGCAGGGATAAAAAATCATGTGGAGGGGAAAGATTATCAAAGGGCCCCTGCAATTCAAAGATGCCAAGAGGAGGGTGCAGTCACAGGCTGTGTAATACAGGAGGCAGGAGGGAGGCTCCTGTTTGTATTTAAATAGCAGGATTCTTTAGATAGAGATGTTGGCAATCAGATATCAGAGATGGTGAAAACACCAAAACCCTTTCTCCCTCGGGGGAAGGAGGCTGCAGGGTGATTTCTGTAGTCCAGGAAGGTGGAGGACTGTACCTTCCCTTCCCTGCCCCCTGCATGTCCCACCCAGTACCAGATTCCCTGAGGAGATAAACCCTGCATTCCAAAATACTGTACGAATCACTCTGTTCTTACTGTCAATGTTCATCTAATTCTTGGTGCAAATCTGAAAGGAAAAAAAAATGAAAAAATAAGGAAAGCAGAGAAGAGAAGAATGAGAGAGAGATCAAGAGGATTTTACAGTTCACCAAAAAAAAAAAAAAAATCAATTACTAATGTACATAGAGAAATGACTATGGAAACCATTGTAATCCATTTCCTCATTATTCTTTTAATCAACCAGGACCAAACCTGGGCAGCTGTTTACTTTATATACCTTCAGTGGGTAAAGACTGCTTCAACATTAGAGAAGAGTCTGCACCATGTGAGGTGGAACCCGAGAAAGGAAGGAGAGTGGCCAGAGAACAAAAACAATTGTCAGGAGTGCTCAATTGCCTGGCCATTGTTCCAAGCTTTAGTCCCAGAGTTGTGTGTTTAGTCTCAGCAGCTCCACAACTTACAAGACCTGCTCTCCCCAAAAGGCAGTTTAGCCTCTTTCTTGGGGATTTCAATCCCATCCCTCAAGCAGAATCAAAGCACCCTGAATTTATACACAGTGCTTTCTTTGAAAGAAGCCATGAAAGACTTTTATCCAGTGTTAAGAAGAGACAGACTGGAGTTCAAAGGATTATATGATTAGCAGAAATATCTGGGTCTACACATTCCCAATTAAGGTTTTTAAAAATCTAAATATACAATAATATGCCCATACCTATAATACTTCCATTAAAAAAATCAAATATACAATGCTGTACCAAATATAGCAAACAGGGGAATGGTTTAATGTTGTTTGAGTTGGTCTGATTCTTTTAATCAAACCTTTAAGTACTGTTAAGTTCTGTCACTTGGGCAAAATACAAACAAATCTTTGAAACTACAGCACATCTTGGAAAGAGTAAACACCACTACCATTTGCTTGGCGAGAGGTTACAAATCAATCCCCCAAGACCCAGCTGTAAAGAATGTTCTGGCAAGATTCATTTGCATGAAACAAAATCACCAGGCTCAGGCTTTTGATTTCTCAGTATTTACTCAGAGCAGCAGACAAGAACACAGGGCTCTGCATTTGTTTATATAAACACCCTGCCCCAGGTAGTGGAGGAGGAAGGAGTACAATACAATTTGATGGTGGATGACTTTAAAAGCAAAGGAAGACTAAAAAAAAAAAAAAAAAGGTTATGGCGACCTAACACTAGGTTTGCTTTCTAAAGCTGCAGGGGAAAGAAATGGCAAAGCTTTCTATTTTGGTCAACTTTTGTTCTAAAAAATTGAATTAAAAATAACAATAACTAATCATCTCTAAATTTCTTCAACTAAAGATACCACAAAAAACCTTTCAACATTTCTTTTAAGAATTTCTTTGTTGGCTCTGAAAATTATGGTTTAAAAATAGCTTGCTTTGTATCTTCTTTGTATACTACCGTTCTACAAATACATTCTGAAATGCTTAATTATGAGAAAGCTGTTGCATGTTTAGCTTTAATCATTCATGAAATCTCTCCACTTTCTTCACCTCCAACTGTCATGTTCTCTGTTTCCAGCAGTGTGCAAGATTTTCCAATAAGGAACAAGCTTTGTTTAAAATGTAGCTACATATATTTTTAAATGCATAACTAAGTTCTCAAGAGAGAAAGGGAACCTGAATGCTAGGAAGGAGAGGATTGGAGGCAGACCTGGAAAAATGGGACTAGCCCAATAACGGATCTAAGTATGGCAAAACTGTAGTGTTAGCTCATTGGTATGATACCCCTGAGAATATTTGCATTTGTAGCTAGGCTTCCTGGAGTAATCTTCATATAACTGCAAGCATCTAGCTTGTATATCTTCAAGTGAGGGGGAAAGTGATAATTAAAATTTTATTTATTAAAATAGCAACCACATTATAGTCAGGTCGTAGCATTCAAAAGGCATGAGTGTATAGTCACACATCACATAAAGACATCTGTCAAATATTGACCCATAAGATTATAATGGAGCTGAAAAATTGCTACTGCCTGGTGACATCACAGTGTAATGCATTAGTCATATGTATGAAGTGACACTGGTGTAAACAAACCTACTGTGCCACCAGTCATATAAAAGCATAGTACATACAATCACATACAGTACATAATACTTGATAATGATAATAAAAGATTATGCCACTGGCTTGTGTATTTACTGTGCTATATTTTATCATTATTTTAGAGTTTATTCATTTAACATATTTTTTAAAATCTGAACTATCAAACAGTCTTCCCTGTTATGCAAACAGAGTAGCCTCACACAGCCCGTGTTTACTATGCCTCTTCATTGCATCATTTTCTCTTACGCTAATTTAATTCCTTGTTATGTGTTCATAAAATCCCTAGGAAACAATAGATTTTTATACACACACACACACACACACACACACACACACACACACAAAGCATAAATGTGTATTAGGCTTGATACTCTCGGTTTGCATAAGTACATTCCATGATGTTCACACAATGACAAAATTGTCAAACTGCACATTTTTAGGAATTTATTCCATTGTTAAGCGATGAAGGACTGCATATAGCTTACACTATCAAAAGCTTTTGCTTCATAGTAGAAGAGTTATAAAAACCTTAGGTTGAACCATTTGAAATTGCTGACATTTTATCATTTAAGAAACAAGATTATCCAATAAGAGTACCGGCTCAATGTTTGCTTTGCCCTATACAACTAATCCCTGTCCTCAGTAACCTTGGTAATCTTTCATTGATGTCTCAGTTCCCCCATGTAATTTTCTTTCTTAGAATTTATCAGAGCATTGTCCCTGTGAATCTCGACTTCTTCAAGTCCCTCTTCTTACCTTAGCTAGATATCCAATCATCCCGTTTCATCCAGTTTCCTCAATATGGACCTTTTGGGGAAAAAAAAAATGGTATCTAATCCATGAGAGAAACTAAGGTTGAAAGAGAAGCAGGAAAGAATTTGGAACTCACTAGTACAATCAAGGGTCAAGCCATCTCTAAAACCAACAGACCTTTTATACTTCCAAAGATGATGACCTCATTCCATATGCCACCAAGAGAGTCTATATAGTTTTCTCTTCCTTGACATAAGTTACATAAGTCTCTTTTCTGTTATCTAACCTTGGTGAGTGCCAAGCTCCAAAAAGGAAGTTAAAGGAAAGGGTAAAGATTCCTTCCATATTTTTTATAGGGAATCTTCACTTTCTAGCCATACACCAGATGCAAGGAAATGTTCTCGCTCTAGTGCCATCTGTCATCTCAGCTGGGATAGAATCACATAATGAGGTAGTAGAAAAAAGAAATAAAATGACCCGGCTTTAAATCCTGTCACCTGCTGTTACTGATTATACTTAACTTCTCCACTTGTAGCATCCTTGTCTATAAAATGGAACTTGGGTCAGGTCAAGCCATGTACGTTCATTATCAGACTCAAAACAAACAAATGTTTGAATATTTTTGAAATGCCAAGGTACAAAGATGTTGATGGGAGAATTTACATACAGAACAGAGTTAGGATAGCATGGTGTAAGCAAAGCCACATACAAAAAAAAAAAAAAAAAAACAGAGGGGGGCAAAACTACTATACTTTTCCAAAAGGAATATTTATTCAGAGAAATATTAAAATATTGAATATTTATTCAGAGAAATACTGAAATTGCAAGGAGCTGTCTGTCATATTTAAGGATGAAGACAAGTCAATTCCGCAGATGTAGGTCCTCTGAGTCAAAGGATGACATCCCAGGTCAAGCAAGCTTCAGGGTTAGCATATAGATCACCGTTACTTCCCACACAGGTGATTCAGAGGAGGTTCTGTGGACACCCTACACTTCCTATACAGTAAGTAGTTCAAAAGGAACAGACAAGTTTTGTATGTGGGCAAACCCCATGCCCACACCTTTAAGGTTCATTAGGACCTATGAAATTTAATTCTAATTATTGCAGTATTTTCTCACCTAAGAATCACCTTAACAAATGTTTTCCATTTTGGAAAATAATTGAGTGATAAATATGGCTGTTGGAGTATAGTCTTCATTACTTCATGCAAGAGGAATAGAATCATTTGAAGCTCCTAAAAAACTGATGAAGATCTCCTTATAGACTATTAGATTGGATGGGCATAGCTACTACCCCAGACTTCTAGAAATTGACCCTAAGGGGATTTCTGGGATTTCAAGTTGTAGGCAGTTGGTTGCAGAAAACAAATTTCTGTTAGGACAACAAATTAGTTGAAAAAAAAAATCACATAGAAAGCCATCAGTAAATTATGGAAGCACATTTAAATGAACAAAAATTCAAGAAAGCAAAGGTGAGCTGGCTTTCACAGGCCATATTCTTCCCCAGGACATTTGCCAGTTCTGACCATGTTCTGAAAATCAACCTGATCCATGCAGAAGGACCACAAGAGGGGAAAGAGGACCCAATAAAGCCTGTGGCCTTCAAACAAGTGGCTACAACAACTGGGAAATGACTGTACCCCTAAATGTTCATCCAATTTTCCCCATAGTACATTTGCTGAATTCTGAGTCTGAGCACAAGATAGGGAGTTTCTGTAAAGTAGATTAAAATCTTCAGTAACCCCGCAGTCATTTGAGAAAGAAAAAAAAAAAAAATCTATGTGGGAAAAGGGGCCAGAGTCAGAAAGATGGCTGGTCTTCCTGATATGTCCATAGAGTATAGCAAGATGTTATAGAGTAGACCAAATTTTATCCATCTCTCAAGACTCTCTATCAGAAGTATGAGAAAGAGAGGCCTGAGGGAAACAGACAGAAGCAAAGGTGGTGGTGGTGGGGGGGGGGTAGTGTCTCTTAAAACTTTGGCCCAGGGCTGCTCCCCTAGGTCACTAGGTTGAAGTTCCCAGCTTCAACTCATCTGCCTTACAGAGTTTAATCTGGTAGGAGTTGCAATCTGCAGAGCTGTGAGACTTGCTCTGTACATCAGTTACCAAGCAGAACAAACAAACAACAAAGCAAATGCATAGAAAAAAAATGGACATTATAGTTAGTATTGAAGGACTGAATATGATACAATGATCATCACTATGTCAGAGAAATAGGAAGAAAATATAACAAAAATGATGAAGGGGTATGGAATTTAATTAAATAATGGGAATTTACCAAAAACTAGTCATTCTAAGACTGAAAATATAATATCTGAAATTAAGAGCTCATTGGCTGAATTTATCATTGGTCAAAGATTGATTAAGAGACTCCAGAGATAGATCAGTAAAAAAATATTTGATCAAAGCCAAGAGACCACAAAATATAAAACATATCATTCATATGCAAATCATAGTTCAATGCCCTGAATTTTTATTCCAGGAGTTCCTAAAGAGAAAAGAAAGAAAACACAGTATAAATTGAGAAAGAAAACATGGTCACAAATTTTTCCAAATTCTTAAAGCAAGCAATGCTCAGATTAAAGAATCTCAGCTAAACCCAAACAGAATAGATATAAAGAAAACTATAACTAGGCATCTCATGACCCTACTGCTGAAGTCAAAAGATTGATCCCAGTAACTGGATGGTCGATGTGCACAGAAGTCCACATCCAAATGGAATATGCTAGAAATTATTTTTAATTGTGTTCATTTAAAAGGAAATTTACTTCTATAAATTTAAAACAAAAAAAACAAATGGAAGATAAAAAAATTGTTTACTGTTTGAAGATGATAATTGCTTTTTAGAGTGAAAGAAGCCATTTGTTTCCAATTGTCCCATATCAAACAGACAAAACCATCTGTAGGAAGAATTTTGATGACTGACTTTATGAGTCAATTAGAATATTGAGAAAGTAATTCAAAAGAAGTGGAGTTAAGCAAGTTAAGTCATCACTTTCATTTTGTGCACACATTATTTTAGAAAGCTTGACTGAGATTGCTCATGACACAAAAATAACAGAGAATTAGACACAAATTGTAGTGGAATCAGAGGTGAAGTCTCAAAGTGTATAGTGCCTATATCAGGTGCCAGAAATTTTTCCCATCCACAGAGATCCTCATAGGTATGAAATGATCTTTACATAGATCATAAATGGATATTAAAATGACTTCATTCATTAACCTGAGTCTCCATAATGTAGTCATTTAATGTAAATCATTTCAGAAAGTCCTGTATCGTTTGGGTCCATTTCAACTCCATTTTCCTCCTGTCTAGAAAGAAGCATTCATTCTAGCTGCCAGCTTCTGGATTAGCAGGAGCATTCAGGTCCCAGAGGAATCAGCCCACCAAGTTCTGTTTTTCAGGAACTGAGCATGCGCTCCCCTCCTCCCTTCTTGCAGAAACTGCAGACCTCTCTCTTCCTTGCTTGCACCATCTCCTCCCTGCTGCAAGCCTGGCTACCAAGAGGGGGGCAGACATGCAGCTAGTGAGTTCCTTCCTCTCCAGCCCACACATGCCTTTTCTGCTCAACTGTTTCTGCTAATCACTTTGGAAAACAGGGATAACTGAAATCATAAGCACAATGGAATTAGAAAACTCATGCTCAGAGCCATGCTTTCCGTAACACTCTTTATATCTGAAATTATAAGTGAGTGCAGTTGAGATCCACACCCCCCACACACTCCTTACTATTTCTTCCTGGGCTCCATCCATTGATTAAAATAAATCCTGATAATGTCATGAAAACATCTGGTGTCTCTGGTGACTCTAAGCTCCCAGTACTCAATTCACAATCCTGAGGCCCCAGAAGAGATCTCTGCTATTTCCTCCAGAAGTGGGAATCTCCAAGGTAAAGGCTCCATTAGCTTCTAGGGCCTCTCCCATTTCCCCACTACTTACAGAAAGGGGAAAAGAGAAAATTTAGAAGAGAAAGATTCTCATAATCAAAGTGGTATTTTTCCCTAGTCTCTTTAAAAGGACCCATGTACTCATCTATCATAAGTAAATTTACACAACTAAAATTTGCCATCTATTAAGAAATCCCTGAAGTCCTTAAATTTCAGATCAATGATGCTTATCTCTCCTGCTTCACTCACTAGCATCCCTATTTTTTCAAGTATGGCATGTAGGAATTACTTTCTCTTTCTCCTTTCTCCTTTATATTTTATCAAAATTATTATTCCCCTATACATTCTATAGTCATTTCATTCTCACTCTTTTCTATCTTTTTAAGGTATTTGCTAATTACCCTTGACCTATCTGGAAGGAAATCATTCCAAGTCACTATTTAGTTATCTCAAAAGAATATCAGTTGAGGTTTCAAAGATTTATTTTCTCTACTGTTCTCTTGTTTTATTTTAATGATCACTTTTTCTATTGTTTTAGGTCAAGAATTTTTGGTCAGACCTTAAATAACTTTGCTTTCAACTAGCAAAGTCTTTCCACAGTTCCTGCTTAACTCTTTATAAGCACAATAAACTGGGAAAGGCAGGATTACCTTGCATCTCACTCTGCTGCCCTAGCTGGATTCCTGGTGTTTAATATCCAAACCAAGCAGAATAACATAGCACCTTCTACCTCTGTTCATACCTTTCTCCCCGTTATCAAATCCGTCTCAAGAACGCATCACTGGGACTGCTGGGAAATGGCAGGACTCAGAAAGGAAGTTCAAAATTATGTAAGAAATTAGCTCAGTGACCTCAATTTCCTTGCCCCTTTGATAAATAATTTGTGGTTTTACAAAACTGAAAGCATATTTTAGAGTTCAAGCAACTTTGGAGGTAAATCATCCAAGGCTTATAAAAATGTTCACACAGCATTTTGCAGACACCAAATCAAATAACTAAAGTGAGGTGAAACCAAAGTCGAGCAGATTCATGTGTGCACAAGCTTCCAGCCTTACATCTGCAGACAGAGCTGTCTATCTTACACTGTGTGACATAAATTCTAGGATAGGATGGTAGGTAAGCTGTTCAAGCTACTTTTTTTCCAACTTCTGAAATCTCTCCAATACCTAGTATTGATGGCTTTTAATGAAAGACACTAGTTATGGGTTATAACCTAGAACTTCAGAACAACCCAGAGCCTAGCAAAGCTGCTGTCCTCTGCCTCTCTTCC